TAGTTTAGTAATGGCTAAACGTTTCGGCTGATCCTCCGCAGTGTGCATCCAGGCGGACATTTAGCCAGAAAAAATCGAAAGTGCGTGTTTTCAACATTTCAATGTGGATAAATATATTTCAATAGATGGTCTATCTGATGGCGTTAAAAGTTTTGTTTCAATTACTAAGAGTCTTCGGAAAACCCTTGGCTCAAAACCGGTTTGAAAAAACAGGCGTTGCCGGAAAATGTTTGTTTTAATTAAATATATCAGACTTACATACCTAACGACAGATATTCTATATCTAGATACTTTTAGTTATACCATAGAGAAAATCTTTCTCGGTTTGGACTTAAACTGTTGGAGAAAGAAAATTAACTTTCCAAGCTAACAATATTTCTGTACGACTATCTTCAGTATAGTGAGCGTCCCATCTTGAAAATCGCTCAAATTTTGTCAAGGTGTTTATCTACAAGTGCTAAATCTATTACTCTTGCGCCGAATTGCTCGATCGTTCCTGGACTTCAGTATAAGTTTTCCAAAAATGTGGGGAAAATGCACAATATCCTCCAGTCAGTCTCAGCCTAGACGTCTTTAGGCTAAAGTCCCTAAATTTGCCAAAGCTTTTGGTGCGTCCTCTTTGAAAAACATTTTTAAATCTTCTTCTTTTTTACTTTGACCTTTTTCGCGATGTATCAGTTTTGAATATATTTCACTTAAATCACCGATTGTATCAGCAACACTATCAACTTTGGCTTGTTCCAAATTGTCTTTTCGAGCTAAATTGAATTGTTTGGCAAGAAAACGAACAATTGCCATTGATTGTGGAATTCTTTGTCCATCGACTTTTATATAGTGTACTTGTCCCAATGGCGTATCATTTTTGATACTATCCCAGTTGGTACGTTCAATACGAATATCTTCGTATTTTTGACCAGCTTGTGTGAAGATTAAACGTATTATTTCTGCTCGTCCAAGACCATTAAAATAATGTAATTTATAAGTTGTCATGGTAATATAATTAAGGTGATTTCTAAAGCCCTGTGTTGTTGTCTTAAACGTCTTATGAAGAAAAACTGGTAGAAAGCTCTTGCAAATACTCTACTATATATATATAAAGATTTTTTTTGCAATGTCATCATTATTACATATTTTCTTTATTCTGCTCATTTTTTACCAATATGAAAGCAATCAGCATGATACTGAGTTGTTCAACTATCCCATAATCAACTTTAAATTGATCGACGTGTATGCTTTGTATGTCACTGCTTTGCTCTTTTCTTGTATGCAGGGGCATGTGCCTCATGGGAGGAAGAAAGAGTGGCTCTTCATGTTATTGTTAAGATGAAATTTGTATTTAGCTCTATAATGTTAAATCTAGACCACGAAGGTTGCAGAAAGCTGAAACGTTTTGACGGTTAGTGTCATAAGTACTCTAGTGTCTGTTTCTCAAGTCATGGAACTCCTTGTAACGTATAGAAGGTAAAAAATAAGGATTGATTTATATCCGGCAATTTTGTACATAGCAACTACAAACAGTGTAATGAACTAATGCACATTTTTGTCCTCCCGGTAGTATTTAAAAAAGAAAAAGTAAATTTATGTCATTTCCTGTATGTATGTTGTTGTTAATGACTTTTGTCCGAGTCGAAAACTTCAATATTTTAAAATAAATTAATATTGTTGATCATCTAGTACAATTAATACCCACGCATTTTTCTTCCAGGTGACAACGAAGTTGTTCAGCGTTTGCTGGAAGTTCTAGTGTAGCATGAGCTCTCTCATAATCATTTACGTTATTTTAAGAGAAGCAACGGAAGAAATCTAAATATGCAAGTTGAACTTGAACCAACAACCGCACTTACTCAGAAAAAACTGTACTTACTTAGAAACGCATTTTCTCTGTATGACTTAACATCAGCACTGGAAGTATTTTTATGTTAAATTCGCTTCTCTTAATCCTCCATGACTGCAAAAATAATGACTATTATACTTGTATAAGAACGTACAAAAAGTTTGACCACCATTCCAATTCTAAAAACTAGAATTGAAATTGGTGCATACATAGTCCTCATAAGATGAGATCGCCTCTAGCTCTTCATACTGTTCGTTCACAGAGCAAAACAAAGAGTTATAAGGGTTTTCCAGTAGTTCTTAACTATTAGACAAGCATTATTAGAGCCAGAGGCCGAGGTGTCTATACTCTCACACTAAACTCTCTTCTGCTATACAGTTTGGCCAAATGTTACGGAATTTCATTTTTTCGTCTTCTGTGCCCCTTATCTCGGCAAAGAAGCAACGTACATCAATGAAATCTATACCAATGATGGATATTAGGGAGTTCTACTACAAAAATAATTTGAGCTTGAATGAACAACCAGATCAAAAGTTATAGTCAAAATAGAGACCGTTACGAATTTTCAAAAAAAATGGAAGTGGTTCTCGGCCTATTTCAGTAAAATGCAAATTATTCAGCCTAAATTAATTTTAAAATCATTGTTTACTTATTAAATTAATACGATCAAGACAAAAATCAATTGCTTGTTTTAAATTTACTTTTTTATTTTTTACTTATTTTTTATTAAATCGTACCATGGTATATATTTTTGATTAGTTAATAATGCTGGATTATAAACAATTGTCTTTTTCTAGTCATTATCATCCTTATCAACTGTATTATTATTAATTAACAGTATATTACCACTAATACGATGACCCAATAAACGTAATATTTCGTCTTGAATAATAATAACGATCGCTGAATGGTTATTTTTCTAATAGTTCTTGTTCTAAATTACCTTCTAAAATTGTTTTTATTAAACCGTCACTCACTTTTGTTGTATATCGAATACAATTTTTAAATTGTATTTGTTGTTCATTCATTCCACCAACTTTAATTGATACAATGACATGTGTACCCCACGCATCTGACAAACTTTGATACAAATTTTCATTAAAATCATCTGTTAATTGAACAATATCTCGTTGTGCATATTTATTTAATTTTAAATTTGAATTATTATTATTAATATTAAATGTGGTCGTATATAATATTTTAAGATAATATGTTGTAGCCATTGCGTGATGATCTTTAAAATATTTTTCATAAACACCGGCTAATTGACCACCAGTCCAACTGCCAGCTTCAGCATTACGTAACTAAATATTAACTAAACCATTTTCTGTCGGTAACATACGCACAGTTACTGTGGTTTTTTCATTACTAGATGACTGTAGTTGTGTTGATATTAATTCTGGTGGTATAAGACCCGTATATTGTGATTCTTTAGCCGTCCGTTTTTGAATACCCCTAGATAATTTTAATACTGATAATAATAAAGCACCTGTACTAATATCAATAGTCATACCAACACTATTTGGTGAGTCAACTGGTTCAGATTCAGTTGATGATTTTAATTTTTTGCTAGTAACATTAACTTTACTACCACTACCACTAGGACAAAACATACCGTGAAAACCAACAATTAGAGCAGAGCACTTTTTAATTCAAACTTTCACGTACGTCATTAGAAAATGATGATGCTACGAAATATACACATAATAATAGTTGAAACATTTTAAAAGCCTAGAAAACGAGATCTAGAATATAGAAGAAAAAATATTCTTGATACAAAGAACAAACTATTTCTGTTATGGACAAGGGACAAGAATTTGTCCTACTCTAACTTTTTTTCTAACCAACAAGTATGGTTCATCTTCGATTCACTGACCCTTGACTGAAAATGGGTTTTTAGCGATGATTTGGTGTTAGTATGCGCTTAGCTTTTTAAAGGGATGGAGAAACAGGAAATTTTTGTTTATTTAT